CGTTGATGTTCCTAACATTGTTCAGACTTAAAATAATTATAAGGCTTCTTCTTTAATAGAAATAAAATTGTTTTGAAACATTGTCCAAAATATCCTGACTGGGAACAAAACACCAGTTGTCCATCCCTCAGAATAAATGATGGGTCTCTTAAGGCAGATCATGAAGACACACTGGAAGATCAGATTGAACAAATTGAGCAAGGTCGTTACAAGAGCAGTGAATACAATGGGTACAGAATGATCCCGCTGTACACCTGTCATGAGGAAAATACTATACAAGAGCAGTGAATACAACAGGCACAGCATGATCAAGTTGTACACCTGTCATGGGTGAATACTATACAAGGGAATACAGGTCATGTTGAACATACAGGGATGTCATATTACAGTAACCATGGTAACATCACAACGGGACTGAGAGGCTATAGCCAGAGTGTTCAGCCCAGGCATCGATATGAGGACCAATACCTATAACCAAATGTCTCCATCATTCAGCTACTACTGGTTAACACTGTGAAGATACTTGCTGTATTTGGTGTTCAGCAACCAATGCTTGGTGTAAGTGGCAGCTGATGGGATTTGGTTGATAGTATCCCAGCTGAGTGAACTGATCCTCATACAGCTTGTTCATCTTGACCTGAGCTACTCTACATATGCATGACCCGGAGGTTAAATGGCACAAACGTCAGGTCGAGTTAACTTCATTAAATAGGGGAGCAAGAATGTTATTAATGTTGCGTTCATGTGAAACATGCATGCATGGATTCATTACAGCCCAAATCGAAAACAGTAAACCATCTGTAGCTTCTTTTTTAAAGAAAATTAGGACATTGCTGACGATTTTTCGACACAGAGATGTCAAACGGCAACCTTGTCTCGGCTGTTCGGACATTTTGACAATCAAATGACAAAAGTGCACCCTTCACAATAATAAACTGAACCAGTTGTGACGGGGTCATGCATTGCATTAGTATTCACTTGATCAGGTCAAGCTGAACAAGCTGTAGTATCAGTCACTGGAATGTCTGGTCCAGACCGTACAGACTCCTGCTCTTACCACAGTGTATGTTTGCTGCTACACACAACTCTCAGTAGTATTCTGCATGTATGACCTTGAACTCTGAATAATAACAACTGGACAAGAAGAACCAGTGATTGAGATGATCAGCAACATTCCTCAATGTTAGGGTAGTAAAGTTTCACACAATCTCTAGACACTGAAGCTAGGTTCCAACCAGCCACCTTGTACAACAAGCATGTGCCTATCCTAACATAGAGGCCCTTAGTGCTACCACAATGTTTTCCATTCCATCCCAGCTCAAGCAAGTAGCCCCAGATCTCAGTCGTGGCTGTCTACTTAATACATGTTGGTCCTTAGCACATAAAACATACAACAGATAACGGAACTGTACAGACTACAGATGAACACTAATTGAAAACAAACTGGTATGAGCTGATAACGTATGATTGACAGATATGAGCTGATAATGTATGTTTAACTGATATGAGCTGATAACGTATGATTAGCACAAGGTTGATTCTGTGCTTGACAAACTAATCTCCTGAAAATAAAAAATACATATTTGGAGACATTCCATAAATCAAAAGAAGTTAACAAACAACCAATTATTTCAGATGATTTTGGTAATCATGGCCACATCTGTAACTCCCTTTGAGTGGTGTTGATACCGGACAGATGCAGCTATTACATGATGCTAATATGAGGGAGTGCAATACTGATGAACAAGGTAATACAAAACATCCAGATTACATGCTGAGCCAGTTGCATATACAAAGTAGGTGATACATCCGTGTATCACTCACCCCGGAACCAACGCTGTACCTGTGTGTGATATCCTGGAACAACTAACCGTGCAGGACAGGAATACGAATATTATACGTGATTCTAGATGCCGGGATTTGCAAGGCTGCCAAATGTGCTTCAAGTACGCATAACTATGTAGAGTGGATGCAGAATGAAACATAGTAGTGTTTATTGTGCTAAATTCTTGACAAGAGATATTTAGGCCAGGCAATTAAAGTTTTGATCAGTACATCACACCATTTCAACACCCAACAAGATTCTAATACTTCCTGTAAGTACCCTTGTAATTGATTATCGTAAGTCAGGGTAAATGTAAAGTTTGTAAAGTGGGTTGAGATATTACAGATATCCAGATTCAGTTTAACATGAACTTACAATATAGGTCTGAATGCAAGAACATGCAAGTCTTATTGCAGAAATTATCCAGCCACAAGTACACAGTCTAAAATCATAGATGAATCCCTGGATCCTATGTGTGCAGGTTGCTGTAAAGATGAAGACATGTAAACTGATAGTTAATTCATCACTACAGTAAAGGTACCGGTACGTAAAATATCTGTAGCAAAATTATTTGAACTATGTGGCTAACAGACAAACAGTTTGGTTTTGACATCAGTACAACTTAGCAACAGAATTTCTGCATGTCTCGAGTCAAGGGACTTTGTTATCAATGAGAGCGAAACATTGTCAAAAACATGATCAAAGTACCCTTCTCTTCCTTGGCCCAGCAAAACAAAGATGTAATCAGATTAGCAGTTACTCCCCTTTTTATAATGCTCTTCAATGTGAAGGTCATAAAGGGAGACTACTCTCAAAGCTGTCATTGCCCCCAAGACAAAGCCAAGTGTCATGTCAGAATTCCATGTTGAAAAGGTTGAAAACTTTAATAGGAAAATATTAGTGAAATGTTCTTCAAAAAAAGTCATGTCTGCATTAATGAATAAATATCTTTGGTGTTGCCATAGTTACCAAGATGAATATGTCATACAAATTGAGCACATCCCTGAGGTATAAACTACTGTCTGTGCATTTCGGGGTCCTGACCCAGGCAAAGATACACAATCTGCCCAAGCTGCAAAAGCTTAAAGTATCATATGCCGGCATATCCCAATAAATTAATACCATGTCCATTTTAGCTGTTTGTTCAATGAGTGTTGCCAAATAAAACAGTGTTTATTTTATAAAAATACAGATATTGAACATTTATTATGTATACAATAGAGCTGTGATGATATATCGCAGTATCGATAATCGTGATACTTTATCTGGCGATAATTATATCGATACATTTTTTCGTATTGTGATATGTATCCTTGACCTTAAAGTTGTTAATTTTCACCAGAAATTGACGGTTATGTCAAAATTTACACTGGTACTAGCTACTAAAATATACTTTTTTAAAGAAAACAACTAAAGACAGCATATCGTGATATGCATCAAATCGTATCGTATCGCTCCAAGCTATCGATACGTATCGTATCGTGAAATTTCTGTATCGTCACACCTCTAGTATACAATAAAGCCCGTCAACACTAAAAGCTTTAATAAATACTTGACAATCATGTACTTTCTTCGAACGTGCTTCTATTTCCACTTGCAATTATAAAGAAAACATATAAGACAAATGTTTAGAATACCAACTCCCTCCACAAAGTCAAATGTCAAAACAGCAGAAATATACAAAATAATATCTTAGGAATAAACTGCAGGATTCCTGCTGAAAGCTGAACACACAGATGAACATTTCTATGACATCTAATATCAAACGAAAAGTTCTACAACGGTGAACACAAACTGTGCCATTGTTTAATCATGAACACAAATTGTGCTATTATTCAATGATGAACACAAATTGTGCTATTATTCAATGATGAACACATGCTGTAGAAGATGAACGGCATCATTGAGCCAGCGAGGTGAAATTCATCATCAGAATCTACTTTTAAAAATTCAATTTGAAGGTATGAAATTTAGGTCCTCTTAAGTTTTAATCAAATACACCCTTCCTAATATTTAATAACATAAACGATTGCAACAAAAGATGACACAGCTGCTTAAAATCTTTAACAGTTAGTGAAAATGAGAAATCTGTTGGGACATATTTAGCTTTTTGTTCTTCACTGTTCCCTGGGAATATCAATACGAGGAACAATTTATTGAAAAGTTACAAAATGAGTTATATATCTAACTTAATTCCAGTCAACAATATCCTCCTACCGCTGACTAGTATTTGGAGTAATATCTCAAGGCACTGACACATCCTAGAATCATTACCATTTATACTGATTGTTGACACCAGCAAGAAATATTCAAACTGCAACATCACATTCAACATAAACAATAACATTGTTTCAAAATCTTTCTGTCATTGTTCACGCTCATGTACCCGCATAGACCACCGTTTCCATAGAAACATAACAGATAATGAAATACCATGGTATAAATAACATGTTCCGATGAATACAACGGATTTTACATTTACTCCTTGATCAGTCTCGCTATCAAGAAAAAGACAACAGACAAATGGACGTAGATGAAGATATGAAGCATCACTGTGACTGGCTTATTTGTGTCCTTTTTTCATATTTACAACACACAGTTACTTGTACATATTTACAACACACAGTTACAACACTGTGAGATATATTTACAAAGTTGTCCCCCTTTACACATACCACCAGGATATATTCCAGGTGTTGTTCGTAACTATAGTTGATTTGATTTCTGGCTATAGAGCAAAGTTCCAGGTTTCTGTTTCACTATGATAACATTGTTTAACAATGAATGTCATTTTTGATCTCTAAAGAAGTCCAGACAGAGATATGTTTGAGTTGGAAAACAATCCTTTTTTTAAACATTGTAATCACAGGCATGTTTTATGTTTACTCTAATGCAGGAACATCCATTTCATTGCTTGGGGGGTCAGAAGATTATTTAAATGAGTTGTTTGTCCAGAAATATACCCAATATCATTAGTTTATTGTGTTGATGATACGAAATTGATGAAACTTTTGTATTAATAATAAAAATAAACAGATTGTTTGATGGTGCTCAGAAAACAGATAGTTTCTTGGGTACATCTGGGAAACAAACAGATTGTTCTCAAAACAGTTTTCCCCTCCTCACCAACACAAATAAAATGGATGGTCCCTTTCAGTATTCTAGTCATTATGACTATCAATGAGACTAACTTTGAATGCAAATGAGGATCTGTGACCAGAAATATTGTTACATTTCACAACTATCGTAACAGAAACTGAAGACATTGTTACCATGTCTGTAGCAGCTCAGCACTGTACAGAGAGCAGGTGCATTTGTTTGTGATTCCTGGCACAAAGTGGGAGGAACCCCCAAAGCTATACATACTCCGGTGATGACAAGCAGGATGTTAATATCTCAGTTGTTGCTTATATGTCATAAAACCTCTGACTGGCAGATCCTGGCTTAGGAAGGGGAGGTAACTCCTTAGTCTGCAGAACCTACTTCTGTGCCTTACACTGCTTGTTACCTTGAGAAGAAATCTGTAAAAATACATGACAAGATAACAGGCCATTATACAGTAGACTCATATTGAGTGACCTTCTTGTAGACTGGCTGAGGTTTGGGAGCGTCGTACAAACCTTCTCTTCTCAGAAACCGACTTGCATCCCTCTCTCCCATTTCAAAATACTGTGCCAGGGTTTTCTGTTTTGGGGGAAACAAAGCATGTGTGACACGCACAAGGTTGTTGAAGTTCACTTGAAAGTCTTGTTTACTGTGACGGAAGAACATTCCCTTCCCCGCCTTGTCATGGGGGCAGATGTCTTGACGACCCGAAAATGGTGACACGGTGATGTTCCTTGCTGTGCCACGGAGAGATGGGAGGTTGTTGGTGACACCACCATCGATGTATCTCTGTAAGGGAGAAGCATTACGTTGTGTCACCATGGTAACAGACAATAGTATCGAACCTGTTGTATGAGTAATTTACTGGCTAGTTTTACTACATGACTTGTTTGACATGAAGTGCTCTTATGATTACTGACTGATTCATTCTGTGGAGAAGTATAACGCGCAATGGTCAGAACAACATTTGCACAACATTTGCAAAATGTCTGGAACTTGTTTATCAAGCACAATGAGCAAACATAATTCAACATGATATGCTACACATTCAACCTTAAATGCTACACATTCAACCTGAGATACTACACATTCAACATGAGATGCTGGACATTCAACATGAGCTGGTAGACATTCAACATGAGCAAGTGACACCAGAAATGGGCTTCACACACTGTACCCATGTGAGGAATTGAACCCCAGTCTTCAGTGTGACATATTCAACGTGAGATGCTAGACATTCAACAATGAGATGCTACACATTCAACAATGAGATGCTAGACATTCAATGGGAGATGCTACACATTCAACACATGATGCTACACATTCAACAATGAGATGCTACACATTCAACACATGAGATGCTACACATCTAACATTCAACAATGAGATGCTAGACAACAATCTAGACATTCAATGAGATGCTAGACATTCAACAATGATGCTATTCAACAATGAGATGCTAGACATTCAACACTAGACATTCAACAATGAGATGCTACACATTCAACACATGATGCTACACATTCACATGATGCTACACATTCAACAATGAGATGCTAGACATTCAACAATGAGATGCTAGACATTCAACGTGAGATGCTAGACATTCAACACATGATGCTACACATTCAACAATGAGCTAGACATTCAACAATGATGCTAGACATTCAACAATGAGATGCTAGACATTCAACAATGAGATGCTAGACATTCAACAATGAGATGCTAGACATTCAACAATGAGATGCTACACATTCAACAATGAGATGCTAGACATTCAACAATGAGATGCTACACATTCAACAATGAGATGCTTCAACACATGTTACTACATTCAACACATGATGCTACACATTCAACACATGATGCTACACATTCAACACATGAGGCTACACATTCAACCTATGACACCAAACATTCAATGCTACTCACATGCCCCTTGATCTTGGGGGGCTTAAGTCCTGCATATCCGGGGATATAGCTACTAGCAATCAGGGCCTGGAAATACAAATATACTCATTGTCATGGTTACAGTTCCACTTTTGTGAAAACACATGTTACTGGTGCTGGGGAGCAAACTATTATCTTTGAGTAGACATACATGTGTAACGTGAATATCCCACCATGACTCTTCAAGGAGTGAGTGATTGAGTTTAGTTTTACGCCGCACTCAGCAATATTCCAGCTATATTCCAGCTATATGTAAATATAACATATGTTATATTTGGGATTACATTTTCTTAGTAAAGTACAGATTCTAGTACTATTGTTGGGTTGAGTCCCATCCGGGATTCGAACCCACATCCTCAGAGTCAGGCACCTAATCGCCTATGTTCTGTAAATAGGTTTACAGGTTTATAGGTCTGTAAATAATCGTGACTGGACCAGACAATCCAGTGATCAAGAGCATGAGCATCGAACTGCGCAACTGGGAACCGATGACATGTATCAACCAAGTCAGCGAGTCTGACCACCCGACCCCGTTAGTTGCCTCTTACGACAAGCATGGGTTACTGAAGATCAATATTCTAACCCGGACCTTCACGGGTAGACTCTTCAAGAAGGTGAGTCCATGTGTCATTAACTTAATACCTAGCGCCAGGCAGGAACACATCATCCTTTGCTAGTTACAAGGTCACATAGATATAGCAGCTAACACAAAAGCCGATGTAATAAAATGTCTTGACAAGTCGTTATCTTCACAACCGCCTCCGTGGTGTAGTGGTTCGAGGGTCTGCCCGGAGAGCGGAAAGTCGTGGGTACGATCCCCGACCATGTCATACCTAAAGACATTAAAATATAGTACTTGCTGGTTCCTGCTTAGCACTCAGCATCAATAAGGACAGGTCTGCTCGAGTCACCTGAGTGAGCTAACTGCCGCATGGTATCTCAGTGAGCTAGCACTGTAAAACCAGCTTAAGTCTGGGCTAATACAAGCAACCACACATACACACGCATGCACGTCGTCATATGTGCGAAATAACACTAAATCCAATTTCACCTCACCTCACCCATTATCGTCACTGTAAATCCTGTATAGTGATTTCTAACCCACTATTAACAGGTATATATGGGACCTTATGCAGAATGAAATGATGGTTAATGCCTAAAAACGATGAAGAGAAAAGTATGGGCAATGTATTCACATACATACTCATAATCTCTCGAATATTGCTAAGTGCAGCGTCAAACTAAACTCACTCACTCACTCTTAATCCTGGATTCAAGATAAAAATAGCAAAAAACGTGTACAGCTAGGGGAGACAACTCTACATTGTGGCTTAACAACTGCATCATCATCAGACAAGCAAATGAACAATTCAGCCTACATTATGTGACTGATTTTACACGTTCATTATCATGACTGTGAGAGATATTGTTCATGATATAAATAATGCTTTTAGTTCCTTATCCTGATCATTGTGAGCACATGTGGAAACCGTGGGACAAGTGTCTAAGGCATCACAATCAGTGAGTGAGTGAGTGAGTTTAGTTTTACGCTGCTTTTAGCAATATTCCAGCAATATCACAGCGGGGGACACCAGAAATGGACTTCACACATTGTGCCCATGTGGGGAATCGAACCTGGGTCTTCGGCGTGACGAGCAAACGCCTTAACTACTAGGCTACCCAACCGCCCGCATCACAATCAGGCTGATGAGAGTTGTGTCCTTTGAGTGAGAAACCTGTGACTGTGAGTGGCTTCTGTTCAAGTTTTGAGGTTCGCCACCACTTAACCCATCTTGTGTTTTCAAAGAAGTCTAATACCTCAATAGCTTAAGGTTTACCTCCATAAGCAAACGCCATGATATGACTGAAATACTGTACAGAGTGGCGTTGAACTCTCTCACTCACTCACTCTGACAAGAACCAGTACCTTGATGAGTTCATCCCTGCTGTCAAACGTGGACATGATCTCGTTCTTCTTCGTGTCCACATTGGTGAGTGAGATGAACAGTTTCCCTGATGCGGTCTTGTGGGCGTCCTGTGGCAGCGTCCTCTCCAGGAACTTCTCCACAGTCTTCAGGAGGCTGTAGCGTGGGGTCAGCACCCCAAATGGCTTCGACCGGATCTCCTTCGCCAGGTTCTTCGTGAATTCGACAGATTCCTGCCGATGGAAGCGATGACAATGATGAGGATGCACAGGAAAAGGTAAGTAACAAGTATATCATCATGATTAGAGCAGCTAGTATTAGTACTAGTAATCATGGAACTAAAGGGTTAACAATTTGACCAGGAAATATATGACTGGTATATGTCACCACCTGTTTGTAGACATGTAGCTGCATAGCTGCAAGTTAGCAGATGAAGTTTTTAACTAATTTATCACACTCATGGGCGTGTATCACATTAATAGTTCCAAAACAGGCCTATTTAACATTATCGAGGGTACATCAAACCATGGGCCCCGAGGGACCAATGAACAAGGCATTTATCTTACCGAACACCTCAATGATAATTTTGAGCTGTTTGAAGCATGGGTATTGGATCATAATAAGGAGTACCGGAGTTAGGCAACAGTCCAAACACTACTAACACGAAGTACCAAACAAATTCCCACAGTTTAGCATTATGAGCGGATAACATAGAAAATGTTACTCGCTTGTAAGTGGGGTACATTGATAATGATTGGCTCAGCCAAACAGAAAACAACATTTATGAGTGAGGTAAGATAATACAATTTGTTGTGGCTTGTACTTCACTGAGTGATAGCTGCACAATAAAAAGGGAGAGGTTATAACTCTAGTTTACATAACTGAACACAACATAAAGATTCAAAGTTAACATTTCTCTTAGTTTAAAAAAAGTATGAACATTCCTCAAATACATGTATATTTGGTTGACAATTTTCCTTCTTTGAGCAATTGGTCTGGAATCAGAGAGAATTCCCAGCAAGGAATAATAACAATCATCGTCTACTTCTTTCTTACAATCAATAGTAGGCATCTACAATCAATCTTACAATCACCTAGATTAACACATCTAGTCTCTAAAATGAACATGGACTTTCCAGGATATACTTGTTTCAAACAAATCACCAGAATACCCATCATAGTATGGTTGTAGGCGGCTTTGATTAAGATTTCAACATTGGGTAAGATCAAAATCTTAAAGGGTGGGGGTACATATAGTGTTCTTACCTACAGTACTCAAAATCTTTGAATTCATAATGTACGGCATGTAGGAATTTTCAGTGTTTGGGGGTTCTTGCTATCGAATGTAAATATGATTTGAAACATTCCAAAATAATTAGGGTAATGATACAGACCATGAACTTTCATGGTTAACTTCAAACCCTGGCATAGTATGGTACCTTTAATGTTGAGGCACCAACATATCATATCAGCAATAATACCAGCATAAACCAATCTCCCAATATGGACACAAAATATACCGCAGTAATTTCCCACTTCTCAGGGGTGGAAATAACTTAAAAATTGCTAGTGTACTCCGGTACAGTGGCACATGTAAAATCACTTGCCCTGATAATTTTTCCACTAAACTGGCCATTTTCTTGTTGAATTTTTAAATAAACAACATAATTAATGTTGGAAAGTCAACTGGACACTGATACAGTGTGATATACAAATTTGCTTGCCCAACATAAAAAAACACTGGACTCGGACGTCGGGCAATGGGTTATTTCCACCCCTGCTTCTATACCCAAAATGGGTTTGAGTACAATACGAATCAACTGTGGTACATACTGGCACTTTATCTTTTGAAATAACAAGAATGGCGGCTGTCAGTGATCCTGCTGATGCCCCGGCAATGGTGTCGACTTTTGAGAGAAGAGTCTGCCCATGGTTGACCAAACACGAGGCCACCCCCAGGTGATATATCCCGAGAAAGCCGCTGCCACAGAGAGATAGATTGTATTTCATGTCTGCATGAACACCTGACGTCGACTTTTTCATAGTAGGTCCTGATAACTTGCGGGGTGGATGTGTCTGAGGAGAAAAGAACAAATGAGTACTGATCACATTGAGAAAAGTCTGAAATCTGAAACCAGATTTGTATTAAGAGCTGGGACACAGCAGTAGGGCAACAGATATAAGATATCAACATGCTTAATTTGTGCTCAAACCTTCGGATTCCTGTCATATGATACTGTCTGTACCAAAAGATTTTGAGTCTACTGTAGGTAGTGGTCTGAAATAACATGCACTGTGAAATGCTTTAAAAATATTTTGCCCATTTGAGCTAGACTAAGCTCTGCTAATTAGATATTACGATACTAGACTTGTTCTTCAGAATGCAGACAAACCAAAACAAACAAAAAAACAAACAAGAAAACAATCGCTGAGAAATAAAGCATTGTCACACATACATTTCAATAAAAGGGAAGATGTCAATGTGGCAATCTGTGACTTGCAAACAGACTCACTTCTATCTCACCTCAATTATCTCAAACAATTGGGTGTTAGTTAACATATTTGTGTTTATTTGAGCCGTTCATAATTTATGGCTGGGGGTTGGGGGTACAATGATGATTTTTATTTTAAGGGGGTGTCACTCATTTTGTTCTGGGGAGGTGGGGGTGTGGTGTGTGGTGTCATCAATTTTGAAACTATGCATTTAGGGGACATGCAGGGGGGTCACTTACTTTGTCCATAAAATTTAGGAGGGGGTTGGGGGGGTCATTCACATTGTACATGCTTCTCCATAAAAAATAAAAATCATCACCCCCACCTTGCCATAAATTATGAACGGTCCCTTACACGTTTGAAAATACAAATTAAGCCACGTAACCCACACTATTACCTTCAGAGAGGAGTAAAGTTGACTGTCATCACATTTCCTAATGTTGGAGTTAAGACAATTAGTCTGACACAGTGTACAGAACAAGCAGTATTGTCATTGTGAAACTCATTATTTCGAAACCAATATCAATTTCATATCCCATTGCAACACTGATAATCAATGACAAGAGTACGATAGTGTATACCTAAATAGAATTTACGTATGCAACAGTAATCTTGCGGTGGTGTCTAACGTGTTCTGCTCCAGTCTTCTGTTTTCACTAACCTAGTCAAGAATAAAGTCTGACAATGTCACCAATAGTGTGTACTGTTATGGCACCGGATTTGTGGCCATGGTAACATTTCGGTCGATTTGACGTTGCGAATACTTATCAATAATTTTGAAGAAAAGACAAAAGAAATAAACACCACCACAACAACTACGTTTCAAGAGTACATCAAATGTTATCAAATAAATATCACAATTTACCTCGAAGTCGTAATTCCACAACTTTCGTCAGCTTACCGCGTCCGCCATGTTTTAGAAAAGCCTGACAGAGTTATCTTCTCTTTATTACGTCAAACGATCCCCTCGTTATAGAACGGATTGGATAGCCCGTAATGGACCGAACTGTGGTAGATATATTTTGAAATAGCCTTGCGAAGATAAAACAGTAGGTGTTTATATAAAAATCGTTCATACTAGGAAAAATAGGTACATTCTGAAATATTGCTTTAAAACGGGGTGATTCTACGGAATCCAAGGATCGTCAATCGGAAACGAGACAGATTCATTTACAGGAAGTATGATTCAGGTTCGGAAGTAGACTTACACTCAGTCTATGGACATATAAAACTTTAATAGAAACAAACAATTCCTATCAAATTGAAAGGGAACCCCAGTGAGGATGGAGCTTCAGAACCTGAGCTAGAGCTGAAGGGGTCGTTGCCGGCACAGGTACTACAGATATGTACACCAGGTACGTTTCTGTATACAGACATGTACCCTTAACAAAGACAAACTACAGAAACGTACCCGGTACCCTAAACGACGGACGAGTCCATATTCCGCAACCCAAAACCGAAACCGTATGTAGTTGTTCCCGTTCAGCTGATTGCGAGTGGTGTACGTTGTGCACCGTGAAATATTCGTTACTGTGAGTATTCGTTATAGTCTTATAAACGATATCAAATGCATCTAATACAACAGTATGGCAGTTCCGATGAAGAAAACTCCACAATGCAGAATGGAATCGTCCAAGGGTACGTTTCTGTATTCTGATTTTGGCTAGGGTACATTTCTGTATACAGAAACGTACCTGGGGTACACATCTGTAGTACCCGTGCCGACAACGACCCCTTCAGCTGAGCTAGACTTGCCTCATATTGCGTTTAAGCAATGCAGAAAGGGCTATGCAGAAGGGAAAATAATACATATTTGTGATTCACGAACTGTGAGACAAACTATATAGATTCAGGGAGACTATATAAGGTTGTAGAGTATCCCTGATAGAACGGAAGCTGAAACAAGACATACGTTTCAGATCCACAAATAAATACGTACGTTTTGTATACACAGATTTAATCGAACACCGTGCGTTAGGCAAGACAGGTTGATAGGAAATTATCATTTCATAAAAGCCTAAACAAATTTAAGCATTTTAAACATTTGAAAAGAACCCAACAAAAACAAAAAACAACAACCTTCCTTGAGTTCACGAACACGTGATTGGTTGGTTTGTTGTTTAACGCCACACTCAGCAATGATCCATGCAGTTATATGGCGGCAGTCTGTAAATAATCGAATCTGGACCAGACAATCCAGTGATCAACAGCATGAGCATCAATCTACGCAATTGGGATACAATGATATGTGTCAACCAGGTCAGCGAGCCTGACCACTCGATCCCGTTACTCACTCACTCACACACTTAAAATGGTCTAAAATTGTAGATCAATGCTCATTATGGCAACCACAGGATTGCTGTTTCAAACATGATAGAAATATTGCTTAGTGGAGAGTGTAGCAAACAAACAAACAAGGTTCTATAGACTTTGTAAACTGAGATGGTGTGAGTTACCGAGAGTGGTTTAAAACGTTTCCCGCTGTCTAATATCGACTATGCTTATCACCCAAGGGCTGTTGTTTAATAATAAGCTTCATGTGAACATATGTTGGAAACATTAAATTCCCTGCAATTGTTTCGCGCTAACCACAGCTTCCATTGACAGGGATCAATTAATTTGGTGAGATAAATTATTACCAATGATTCAGTGGTGTCAGCTTGAATTGTGACTGTCAGCAATAAATAGCTAGCCACACTGTATAATATATCCAATGATATACATGTACATGTACATGTAAATATAGAATTGATTTCTTAAACTTATATTTACCAGGAAAATGGCTATTAAGCATTAATTTCATGATATAAGCCAGTTACAATGTATGGTACTGTTTGAAAAGTATTCAAGCAAGGAGACATTGAATTAACCGACACTCTGTATAATCCGACATTTATTCCCGGTCCCAGTGAGTTTTGGATTATACAGAGTCCACTGTAATTACTTCCCCATGTCGTACATCTGCCAGTGGATCCACCGTGTCATGGTGACAAGCGTAGGTCCCGCATCCTGGGGCTGGGTGCTGCTTATCCTCAGATGGAAACTACGTATTTCCTTAACATACAGTTATTTCAATTGTCGCAAAAGTCTTAATGCTCAATCGAACCGTGGGAAATATATTGGAAACATAAGGACATTCAACTAATTTCAGCTCAGCAGGTGCTCGGTCTCCCTGCGGAGTCTGTCAACAAATTCACGGCTCGTTAACTTGGACAAAGGATGCTAAGTAGATTAGCGAGGGATATCTACTTGCTGGTGTACAAAGGGAAGGTTCAGTCTACGACTATTTGTACCTTTGTCACAGTGGACTAATTGAGTGAGTGAGTGAGTGAGACTAGTTTTAAGCCACTTTTAGCAATACTATTCCAGCAACATCACAGCGGTGGACACCAGAAACGGGCTTCACACATTGTACACATGTGGGGAATCAAACCCGTGTCTTCCGCGTGACGAGCGAACGCTTAACCACTAGGCTACCCCACCGCCCGTCTAACCGATTAAGAACTATGATGACAGTGACGTCATAGAAATGTGCCTTCATTTATCGTCAACCCAAACAAGATATTCCTATGGGATATTTATATGAAAAGATAGCTTTTACTGTTACGTTCATAACACAATTCAGGCGTCTATTTGAGTAAAAAGCTGATGGTATATACAAGGCTGATAAATAACAAGTTACTAACACGTTACCTACAATACTCGGCACACACATACGTGCCCTTTCTCGTTGTAAATATCTTGATTGTATTTCCACTAAGACTTAGTCCTTACGCATCATCAAACTTTCTTAGAGCTTATGCAATAAGCACAAGTCTAGTCATATCTTATAACGGCATATGTGTGTGTTTACATGTGCTTGTTGTTTAACGCTGCAGTCGGCAACGTTCCATCTACATGTACATGGCGGCGGCCTGTAAATAGTCCGGTCTGGAACAGACAATCCAGTGATTGACAACATGCACATCGCTTTTCGATGAGTGAGTGACAGCCGGTTTTACGCCGCTTTTAGCAACATTCCAGCAATATCACGGCGGGGGACACCAGAAATGGGCTTCACACATTGTACCCATGTGGGGAATCGAACCCGGGTCTTCGGCGTGACGAGCGAACGCTTTAACCACTGAGCTACCAACCGCCCCCTTTTCGATGACATGCATCAGCCGAGTCAGTGAGCCTGACCACTCGATCCCGTTAGTCGCCTCTTACAAGCATGGTTTGCTGAAGACAAAGTCTAACCCGGATCTACGATAATAGGCTAATTTCGCAAACTTTATCAACAATCACATTTAAAATTCTGATGTGGTAGTTTGCAAATCATGTAATATCAGTAAGTCATTTTCCTTAATCTTTGATTTATAAGTGTGATTTTGTCATGTATGCAGTGACAATGTTAAAAGTGCAATCGATATGCACTGCTTCCTCCTCTTTGACAGTACCTGACGTTGAATGTGACGTTAAGGTATTGTCTTCCATTCTTGATGGAGTACTTGTTCCAATGCCTAGATTTTCGAAGCTCTCTTAGCGCTAAGATAGTCGTAAGTTAATGTTAATGTATGGCACCTACGACTATCTTAGCGCTAAGAGAGCTTCGAAAATCTAGGCCCAGGATCGTATTCTACGACTCTTAATGTCGCTTTGACCGGTGAAGATCCTGTGTAGAATAGGTCTTCAGCAACCCATGTGCTTGCCACAAAAGGCGACCATGCTTGTCGTAAGAAGCGACTAACGGGATCGGGTGGTCAGGCTCGCTGACTTGGTTGACACATGTCATCGGTTCCCAATTGCGCAGATCGATGCTCATGCAGTTGATGACTGGATTGTCTGGTCCAGACTCGATTATTTACAGACCGCTGCCATATAGCTGGAATATTGCTGAGTGTGGCGTGAAACTAAACTCACTCACTCAACTCACTTAATGTCGCTTTAGGGGGCTTTGATATGGGCTCCTGGCGGGCCGAGGTAGAGTTGCTACCACCTCCTGGCGGGCCGAGGTAGAGTTGCTACCACCTCCTGGCGGGCCAAGGTAGAGTTGCTAACATCTCCTGGCGGGCCGAGGTAGAGTTGCTACCACCTCCTGGCGGGCCGAGGTAGAGTTGCTACCACCTCCTGGCGGGCCGAGGTAGAGTTGCTTCCACCTCCTGGCGGGCCGAGGTAGAGTTGCTACCACCTCCTGGCGGGCCGAGGTAGAGTTGCTACCATCTCCTGGCGGGCCGAGGTAGAGTTGCTACCACCTCCTGGCCGGCCGAGGTAGAGTTGCTACCACCTCCTGGCGGGCCGAGGTAGAGTTGCTACCATCTCCTGGCGGGCCGAGGTAGAGTTGCTACCATCTTCTGGCGGGCCGAGGTAGAGTTGCTACCACCTCCTGGCGGGCCGAGGTAGAGTTGCTACCATCTTCTGGCGGGCCGAGGTAGAGTTGCTGCCACCTCCTTGCGGGCCGAGGTAGAGTTGCTACCACCTCCTGGCGGGCCGAGGTATGAACGCACCAACGGCAGGTGCACGCCGTGACCCAGCATTGTCGTCCATGAAGACTGACCTTGTGTTCAACGGATGGTCATCGAAATGTGGTACAACAACCTGTAAAGGATGTCCATGATGGACCGTTATACCGTCAGATTTTGTGTGGTCGTCAGTATAACGTCAGGTTTACAGTTATGTGAGAATCACTCCATGCCATCAAAATAACCATACACACAAACACAATTATAACATGACTATAAATGGCTAAATGGGGTTAAAAATAGTAGAGATGCACTTTTCTATGTGTAAAATGACACTGATGTACCACCGTTCAAGCAATGAAGAGAGAATCATGGCGATTTTCTTTTTTACATTATATGTTGGTCAAACATTGGTGATTAAGTAAGCCCTATATCTTTAATTATTAAAATCTCCAAACCTGCTGGATTAAATTTACATGCTCCTCAGGCTTTCGCT